CCTGCGACTGGGATTCAGTCACCTCCCCTCTCCCTGTTAAAACGTGGGGCTTTTGTCAGCTTGGCCCCGACCTGACAAACCTGAGATGACCAGATCTGTTCCACAGGAAACAAAACTAAACAAAATGCAGGGGCTATACACGTTGCTGGCCACAGCCTTTCACCTGCAGGCACCCAGAATGAGAGACACCAGGTGTAAAGTCAGGAGTAAGAGAGGAGTGTAAAGAGTATTTGAGTAACAGAATCGATAACCACTGCACAGAACCCAGCCCAGTTCACTCCACAGTCAGGGACCAGTAGCTGCACTGTGAGACACAATACTCAGCTTTCACATTTCCTGAGATGCCATGGAGAGGCTGCTCAGATTCATAGAGCTGGGACAGAGGCATCAGCCAGAAACCTGTGATTCTGGAGACAGTGATTTTCAAGAGCTGGTTGAATAACTGTGAGATGAGCTAAATATGTCAAGAAACAAGGTCTGTCCTCTCCCCTTTCGTCAAGGGTAATTTTTATCTAGACCTCGTTGGGCAAATGCATAGTTTAATTTCTGAAGCCCAAAGCATGTTGGAAGGCACTTAAAGTCTTAACCTTCTTGGTCTCATCACACCAAGCTGGATCTCTTCTAGGTATTTTGTATGAAGCACTAGTCCTGCGGCATGACTCTTTATTTAGATAGATAGAAAAAGACCTTCATCTTGTGCCATCCATTTGCTTCCACAAAGAAGCTCAACAGTCCCAAATACTGCTCCAGCCTGCTTCTGTCAGCAACCAGAAAAGTAACTTTGAGCCTAAGTCACCACCAGAAAAAAAGGCTGTTTTGTTCTGTCCTGGTCACAGTCAGCACCTTGTGTGTGGTGAACACACCTCTATGTAGCTTTTCTTTGGCTGTGGATTGTCTTAGCTTGAGAAGACACTTCCTGGACTAATTTTATGCTTGCTTCGCTTGGCCATTTTGTCTTCCTTTCTGTAAAAATGCTTCTGTCTCTACCATAGTAAAAGACAACTCCCCAGTTGCCTTGAACAGATGTGGGGTACCACTGAAGTCAGTGACAAAATACACCTGTGCTTTCACTGCAATAGTCTCATACTGTAAAGTCCATATCACGGCCCTGCAGAGAGGATGCAGCTGTCAAGGGATGGCTGTCACACAGGGAATAGCGTCTGTGCAGGGATTCAGCATGGCCTAACAGAGCAATTTCACAAGGGGTTCTGTGAAGTAGCAGGAAAACCAGCACTGACCCCAGAGGCATGAAAAAGCAAACATAAGGCGTCCTAGACAATACCATCAGTATCCATAAAGAGAAACTAACACTTCCATGCCTTTATTTACTGTTAAAAATGCCTGTGCATTACACAGCTATGCTGTTTGCCACAATTCTTGGTCCTACCTCCCTTTTTTCCCCTTCAAAAGGACTGTCCAAGCAAATGAGAGAGAAATAACTGCTGAACTGTGAGTGCTTTTTTGAGCATGGAGACGTGTGTGTTTAGCTAAATACAAGAGAAATGTGGAAGCTGTTGTCTAAGCAGAATGATTTTTTCTGTTGTCTATGAAAATAACCAAATTAGTGTTTCTAGCTCCTGAGAAGATAGTGAACAATGCACAGATACAGGAAACACAGACAATGGTGGACAAAAGCTATTCCCACCTCCCACTGCAGAGTGGACCAACGTCAAATCCCATTACTAAACTCTCTCAAGATGACTTCAACGTGTAGAGTTCTGGCTGACTCTTTAGCTGGTGGAACTGAAATAGCTCCAAATCTTGTAACAGATGAGGCTTTAACCCAGAAACTTCAGGATTATAAATGCTTTACAAGTGACAAAAATCCTAAGGCTGAAGATTTTCCTGTGTCGCCCTGATCTTCTACAGTCAAGACCATCACTGGAATGTACGAATACTAAACACATTGGTCTATGCTTGTAGGATTGCTCTAATTCCTTCCTAATGATCATGTGCCAGGTATTTTTACTGTATTATGTACATTTGTTACAATATACTGGATACTGAATAAAGGCAGATTTCAAAGAAACAAAACCCTACTACTTTAAGAGCCTTTCCAATTGGTTTTTAAATACTGCATTGTTTTAAAACAAGATACTCTTAGTGATTCAATTAGTCTCTGAAAACACTAAAGGCAGCCTCATGAGGCAAATTAGACAGGGTTTTTATAGCAGAATTAATATTGCAAATCCTCATATCCTGTGGAGTTCTATGTGCTTGTAGAAAAAAAACCATAAAAGGTAAACTCTGGAGTATATAGTGGAATTACTGTCATTTGCCCCAGGATCTCATAGGGTCTGGAATTATTACAGTATATTGAAAGTAATTACTAATTCATTCCAGTTCAGGAAAGCTTGCTGACCAAACCCAAGCTTGTATCTTGTGAAAACTCAGCAGTAAAGCATGTGCTAAAATTTAAGCATGTCTTTAAGCTCTTTCCTGAATCAGGGCTGTCCTTACATTTAAATGACTAACGTACAATGCCTGTGCATTGTTTCTCTTTGTATTCAAATCTATGTTAGGGATCCTACAAAGCCAAAGGTAACTAGTTTTGAATGTAGGTAACATTCCACATGCATTTCTGTACAAGAACTCATGCAATATTGGCATTAATACAGACTTAACTATACGTTACAGCTGAAGTGCTCACTGACTTCTCCTACTGCCCTGGCATTTCTACCTAGAAAACTGCTTTTTGAAATTTGGGAGTTTGACCTCATACCCTGTTTTCTTTGCGGCTTCTACTGGTTTGAATGGCTATTTTTCCCACTGAACAATTATTTTCTTCTTCTTCTAGGCCTTTTCAAGGTCCCCTAATTCCCTGAAGGAACTGTTGGGCTCAGCCCCACCTCAGGATGATCCCCGTGCAAACAGAACTCCACTTCCAAGGGAGCTCTGGCAGGATCAGGTTTTAGGTGTGCAACTAGGTGTGGCTCAGGAAGGCCTCAGTGATTCCTCAGCAGGCTCCACCAGGAAGGGCATCCTCAAATAACCAAACACTACTGTGACAGGAAGGAAATGAACCACTTCTCAACAGCTGCCTCAACAGCCATCCATCCAAAGGTTCATGCAACCCTTGGGATCCTGCAGCATCTTATACAAACTGAACTCATGGATACTGGATGAAAACACATCTCACACTCCTTTTCTACCACCATCAGTTCTAGCTGTTCAGTCTGCTTATGGATATCAAGGATTTAGGTTTTCCTGGTGGATCTGTGGTCAAGTGTCCCGTTCTGGATTAGCAAGAGAACCTAGATGTGATTTCATGGCTGGTCTCTTGGTTTAGCAGAGACTCAGAGGAAAGGTGGCAGGACATGCTAACCCTGACAATGACAGGAATGGCCTGTGTCGTTCAAGTGAAACCACCTTTGACTGGAGTCCAAGTCCATCATCTCTGACAGGCAGGGTCATGACTACTAGTCAGGGTCCCTGGAAAGGCAGGGACTTGGGGAAGGACTCTTGAGGTTTCCACCAACAGAGAGGGTAAAAGCGTGTCAAGTTATCCATCCTGCTAAAGCCTTTACTAAGACAAAAGCTCTGATGAATAATACTGTTAGCATAACTGCGGCCTTTGACACCCTTATGCTTAAAAGGTCATATTTTCTCATAACCAGTGTCTACAGTAGCATCCACAGGATTAAATGGCCAAAAAATAGCACCCATAATCAAATCTGCACACAGAATACTTCAGCACCTTCTGGTAGAGGATCTGAAAGCACTTTACAAATGTTGACCAACATTTGGCCTCACAACCCCCAGTGAGGTAGAACAGTGTTGTCCCCGTAGGGACAGACAGACAGATTGAGGCACAGGGTTACTAAGAGACCTGCTCCCGTTCAGACACTACATTTAGCAACGCCAAGGGCTGAATGAAGGTGTCCTGACTACTGCACCTATGCTTTGTCCACACTACCACTTTCTTTCCCACAGACCTTCAACACGAGCCCTTAGCTTTTGAACCAAAACTAGGATTCTATGTACAATAGGTGAGATGATCCTTTAGCAGTCACATAGTCAGTTATTCAATTCAATGAAGTTATTTGTGGGAACAAATGATTTCTTGTGCAAAACTCTGGGTGTAAATGATCATGCACTAGGACTACTGGGTGCAAACTTGGTGCATGATAACTCTGACCCCTTGATTATTCCCAGTCCTGGCCTCTCTCAGATAAATCTGTTTTTTTTTAATTGCTTTAAATGTATCATCACACGAACCTTTAAAGATGCAGCCTGCACAGATTGTTCCATACCAGCAATGCAAGCAAACAAAATGTGGAGTGGCTTTGGGAACAACCCAGCATTCATGTAGCATCAAACATCACAACATTATAATCCATTCTAATCACAAGGGGTTGCAAGACAATAGGGAATAGGTGTATATGTTGCAGTATAAAAAAAAAACAGGCAAATAGAGCAATAAAGAAAGATTTGATTGCACAGATTTCATTTAGGTAAAGTTTCATCAAAAGCTTATCCCATGAGGAAAGGAGGCAATGCCAGCTAGCCTAGGACAAAGCTTCGGCATAGTAAAAACCACCAGCCCTGCATGAATACATGAACTTTGCATTCTGTAGGAGTCATTGCTGATTAATAAAAGCAAAAGGTTTCTCTAAATACTGTAAGTTTGTTTTTTGTCAGAAGAGTTTCTTAAAATATGGGGTTTGAGCCCCACAAAATCCCATGTTATAGAAGTAGCGAATCTGGCCATAGTCAGGAATACTGAAGTGTAAAAACCCAAATACATAGCCCTAAACATTACAAAAACTATCAAAACATTCAATATTTTGAATTGACCGTCCCCTTCCCTCCCCCCCATGTGTCTGTTCTGGCAGTGATTGCAAGATTTCTGCACTGAGTTGTTGGCATTACTGTGCTGCAGTTGTTGGTTGGTTTTTTTGTACATTTTTCTGCACGTGTTTTTTAACCAAAAGAAAATCACCAGTTTCTGTACAAAAGCAGGAGCTCGAATCCTCACTCCCAAAACACAGCTACAAGGATTTCCTGTATAAAAAGTGTATTGATTTTTTTTTTTTTTTTGCTATAAAAAGTGACCTGTAGGGTGTCAAACCTGAAAACAAATGTTCACAGTGTTTTCAGTGTTGGCTGTTCACAAGGCATTACTGATACAGAGATAGAGAGATACCATAGGGTAGGTATAACAAATTGTTACCAGCTAGCAGTACCCTTGGATCCCATGAAGGGTGTTCCACTTCATGTGACTCAGATGACTTCCTTTCTTTTTCCTTAATCATAAATCCCAATATTTGGATCACTATTGGACTGACCTTCCTTAGCATCTTGCACAATCATTCCTAATCTCATCCAAGCTTCTGCTGGCATCTCAAGCATCAAACTGGCAAGTCATTTCCCTTCCTGCTCTCCAGCAACAAAACACAAGACTAGTTAGTATGCAGGTGCTAAAACAAGGGCTTCAAATGAGGAGTAGGTTTGCTGGCAAACGTTGGCAGTTTGGAGAGGTGGAGGGCATTATGTGCTCTACTTGAGCTTGCAGATTCATCAGCAAGCGATCCATTTGCACACTTCCAGGGGGAGCTACTTTACTACCACTAGGAAAATCACACAGTTGCAGCAGAAGAAGGAATAATAGAAGCAAACGGGAAATGCATAGGATCATTGGCATATTGGCCCCAAATTTCTTGCAATGTCCATTTTGCACCCCTGTATCTTAGAAGAATGGTATCCCTCTATCTCTATAGACTGACAGGTGTTGATTTGTGGCACAGAGGATAAATCACAGAAAAAAAAAATGACATATAACTGTGTGTCCTTTGATTTGAAAGCACCAGTCACCTATCTGCTTATTTTGGCAGAAATACTCTACTGTATCTTAAACATAGCTTGCAATATGGACATTTAGCTTCGTGTCGCTTTACATGGAATCTCCAAGGGAATCGGAGTCATCCAAAGACAGAGGCAGATACAAGTCCTGTAGGAAGAAAGAAGAAAATGTTAACTCACACCATCAGGTTCCACCTTTGGTCATGCATAAGGAAGCAGTGAAATGGTCCAGTTCTGTGTAGTTCACAGGGACAGGGTGGAAGACTCGTGCACTGGTTACTGGTAGGGCTGACCAGCTTTCGAGGTAGCTCAAGGCCAAAACCAAGGGAGGTGACTTGCACAGTAGAGCAAGAGGATCTTGGTACCAGAAGAAAGAAGACTGTTCAGTGACAAGTTTGGGAGTATTTTTTTGTCACTTCTGGATCAATGTGTCCGTGATAGTATATGCATGAAAGAGCAGGACCCTTCATTAACAGCTCTCTCTGAACCTAAGTCCAGAATAAAGTGTCTTACCTTGATTTGACAGCTACCTTTAGGACAAACATCTAGGAAAATCACACATTCCACAATTTAGTCTTTATTTTAAGTCACTTATGATCATTTATGATCATTTTGATGGGTTAATAAAATAATCCCAAACTTATGATTTGGATCAAACGCTGTATGTAAAGCTTTTCCAGGTTCCTTTCTGGGGTAACCATCTTATTCCACTTCCTCCAAGTTCTGGATGGAACTAGGTAAACAACCAGCTCAAGGGCTAAAGCTCTCCTTGGACCTTTTTGAGCTGTGACCCACACACAGGTAAAATGTGAGCAAAATGAAGGAAGGCCCAAATACACAGAAAGGAAATTCCCAACAGTCTTGATATATGAAGAGGTAAAATAGGTCTCTGAGGTGAACTCAACCTAAGAATTTATCATTTGAGCTTTAGGGGAAAAAGGAAAAATGATTTTATCATAAAGCAGGAAATCGCTTCTGGGAGAGAGACAATGATGCATTAATACTGTGGTAACCTAAAATGCTACATTCATGTTTGCTGCTTGGCTTAAGTCAGTGGACAAACTTATAGATGGATTAGCTTTGCCCTCAGCAGTCACCATCTATTACAAATGTTCTGGGGGCTTCACTGGAAAGCTCATAAATCAGCCAGCTGAAAACATAACATAAAGCACTAAAGAAGGTGAGTTTTACTTGTCTTTTCCAGGAAGTGAATCCTCATCTCCAAAGTCCTACATGTGATAGTGTTTGGACATTACTTTAGGTTCTTGAAATAGGCAGAAGCAAAGGATGCTTTACAGCATTACTTTTGCTGAGCTACTGTTGAAATTCAGACTACAGGTCAGATTCTGTTCTCATTTATAAATTAATAATCAGTTTGGACCCATTGTGTTAAAACTGGTGCGTTTCCTCAGACTTGGCCTGAGCAGCTGAGATCAGAGTGAAGTCCTGAGGAAAACACAGAGTTTGTTTGCATTCAGGTATTTTGTTAAAGATAGTCAAATAAAGCTGAGTAACTACTACAGCTTTTCCACGTGTTGGGAATAATTTAAAGATCTGATTTTTCAGAAGCCAAAAGTCCACCTCAGGCTCCCCCAGTACCATTCAACCCCATGTCCAAAGTTCTGCAGTCCAAAACCTTACATGTTAGAGGTGTAATGCACTGGACTTTCAGGTATTCCTCCCACTGACTTCTATGTGCTCTGAATTATCTACGAGGCAGCACAGGTTTACTGATCTCTGCTAGGCTGCAGTGCTACCTGGTAGACACCCTGTTTGTAACCAGGAAAAACAGCTACTGCACCAGAACACAGTTACTACCCCAGCTGTAAAAATCACTTGTGTCCTGTAAAACAGAGCATGGCCTTAAATAATTAAAACAAAAATCCTTGAGAAGCATCATTAAAGTGATGTCTCAGAGCTGCAGTAACATTTGCATTTCTTCTGCTGCTTAATGGACCAGATTTGCCAACCCTTAAGGCATTTCAAGAGAGGAGGGTTTGTATGAAGATCATATCTATTAATAACTTGTGAACTTTCTCAAATAGTGATACAAGCTCAGGGTTAAGTAATCTCTTCCAATCCATATGGATGATCTCCAACACACATTGGTAACTCCAGTGGAAGAAACAGGCCAATGACTTGGGTGTTCCCCATCTTGCTAGAGCCCACAGTGACAACCCTTTTAGATAATAGGTCAAATTCTCCACTGTCCCAACATAAGGAGTTGTGCTTCCAGAGAAGAATATGGCCATGACGTAAATGTCATACAAATGCAAGTAGACTAAAGAAGAAACAGATGTAGTAAGGTATAAGAAACGTAATACCTTGTGCTTACGGAGGCTCCCTGGGCTGGTTGGTGTGGAGATTGGGGACTGCTTTGATTTGGGTGTAGACAGCTGACTGCTTGAGGTCCCATTTGCTGTCAGAAAACAAGACAGAAGCTGGCAATCAGACAAGCAAGAGGAAGATCTTCTTTCTCCTTTGGGGAGATGGAAGGTATCCAAGCATTTAACACAGAAATGCTATAGTTTATTCATGTTAGGCAGGAGAAAAAAGAAACCAAGCAAACTCCATGGCTATTCACCCATTTTAAGGCATTCAGTTGTTCAGGATAATAGACTCTAAAATACAGTGAAATACAAAATATATTGATGGAGTGATATTTTATACTACAACTATTCACCAAATTGATCCAAGACACACATCACCAGAAAAACAGAAAGACAAGTTCTGTGTTCTCAAACTGCAATGCAATTGAAACCACATGGCATTTAAAGGCATGAGTGGAAACCAGAGGCTGCAGATATCCTGGGTCCTACACAACAAATGTTAGATGTCAAATATACACATTACAAATTAGACAAACAGCTGCCTGGAATGCCCTGGGTGCAGTTAGCTGTGGCTGGGATTAAATGACCAAAAGGGCCCTTCTGAAGCCCTGGTGTAAGCACAGAGTGACATGTCCCTGTTCACCTCTCTGGGGAGAAACCAGAGCTGGCTCTAGTGTTCCTCCACTGCCTGCACCCCACAGGTGAATATGGTCCATCAGGGGAGGAACAGGAGAATTGCATCAAGCAGTGATCCTCTTGCAGAGATCAAAATCTGCCCTTTTGGGTTGCTTTGTTTGTTTGTGTTGCTTTGAAGACAGCACAGTTACTCTCCATTAAAAAAAAATATATGATTTATTTAAACCAAATGGCTTTTGGAAGAGTTGTTTGGACTAAAAAGTAAATAGTATCTAATGCAGAAAAAAGAAGGGAACCAAAATGGAATAAGTATAAATAAAGTTTTTCCTACCACTGATGATCTTTGGAGTGAGCTGATGTCTTTGCTAACTGCCAGATGTCACGATACGGATTTCATAAGGATGTACTTACACATAGTGAACTTGGTCATTCATAGGTTGTGTATCAACTCCAGGATACAGACCCCCTTGTTATCAGGGGTTGTAAACACACAGCTCCACTAGCACAAGCAGCATTACTTAAAGGAAGGAAGTTCAAACTCATGCTGGCTCTATCCAAAGTATATTGTCTTTTTTAGCCTTTAGTTTTTGCAATCCAAGCAGCAGCAAGCTGAAGGCCTTATGAGCATTAAACTACGTATTCCAATCAAGTCTACAGAAAGTGACGTTTCCCAAACCTACTCCAGATGTTAACATATACAGCACAAACCACAAAACTAAACCCCAAATATTTTGACTGTCGTTTCCTTAAATGGCAGTAGTGTTGCCAGAGCTCCAGATAACTCCACAAATCCCTACCCCTTTTAAAGAAAGCATTTTGAATTGTGTTGATGGTTCACACAGAGGGAAAAAGACAAGCGTATGATGGTCCAAGCTTGTCCTGCTCTCTGAGTGCCCAGTGTCTCTCTATCCCATTGCTCTAACTGTAAAGGCACGGCCACAAGAGGATGGATGATTTCAGCATATGGGACTTATGCTTTCAATTATAATAGCTGAAAATTAAGTAAGTAGTTGCATGTCTTGAGGAGACCTAAGAAGAGGACCATAGAGTAGGAAGGTCTGTGAGTGTTGTATTTTTAAGAGCAAAACCAGCATAACTCTTGCTTTAATGCCTAAGACAGCCTCATTCCTCTTCTGTTACCTTCTTCTGAGAAAGAGGGGCATAGTTAAAGTTCACAGTATCACTGGCCTAAATGTAGTGCTCATACATGTGAATTCAAAGTGTAAAGAAACGTGCTCTAAGCCACAGGACAAAGGAGGATCTGCAGGCATATTCTAGAAGCTCAGGCTCAACAGATTCATGGTGGTGTGGCCCCTCTGCCTTCACATCTATCATTTCTGTGCAGAAGGCACTATTGGGAAGAGGAGGTTATTCATCACATGTAGCTCTTTTCCCATGACAATTGCTCCTCACTGAGGAAATAGGTATTTCTTAAAAGGTGGTAGAAATAATGATTTATAGATAACTGGGGAACAGCTTGACCCTTCAGCTCCCCATTCCACTCTGATCATTCTCTATTGGTAGGGGGAAGACTAGTTAAAGAGATCCAGAAACTGTTACACACTGGTCCCTGCATGGTGACATGCCACTCTTCACTTTGATCCAGTCCTGCAGAGTGAGCTGCCCTCCAGGTTGGTGGGAGAAAGAGCAGAGTTCACTCATTACATGCCATACAATGAAGGCAATTCAGAGAAAAGAACTTGGACCTCTTTCACGGTTTTATTTTCACCAATGACTCTGGGGTTTCTAGTCAAGAAAATGTGGGGTACAGCAGCACTAATGGAATCTGTGTTAGCCAGAATCCACCTCTGGTTGCTAAAATGCCTCTTCCTTTATTTATTTCCAATTGCTACTGATTCCTGAAGCAGGAAGCAATCCTTCTTAAGACGAAGCATGCCACTTAGCAGCTCTACAAAGAGCCCAAGTTTCCACAAGCAGGAAGACTGGAAGAACAGCTAAGTCAGTGTGCAGTAAATAGATGCAATTGCTGCAGGGGAGGACAGAAATTCCCTAATACAATGAGACTTTTAAGTGCTACAACAGGGATGTTAATATTTTATGAGCACCAATGAAGAAGCAGATGTGACATTCAAACCAGAAACCCAGTAAGAAGGATGTGTATCATTACAAACACTCACTAAGAGTCTTGCAGCAGGAGCAACAATGAAGAAGCCCAGTTTCATTTTCTCTCTGTCTGCTAATGAAGAATACTGTTCATAATCAAACTTTGCACACATTTCTTCTGAATTCAAATGCAAGAAAATAGCCAGAGGCAAAGGGCAGATCCTGGGTGGTGTGTAACTGATGACTTCGGGTAGCTCAGGATCTCACATGAGCTTGGCTATTGGAAACCATTCTGTATAACCAGCTTTCACTTGAATTCATTTGGGGTTTTTTCACCACATTATAGTTTGTGTATTGCATCTTATTTATGTCACTGTATTTGTTTTGCAACCTCTATTTACTTTAAAGCCCCTTTGTGCTTATGACACATTCTTTAATTGCATGAACATGCGCACTTCCTTTTTTCCTTACCTCCTTTGGTGCACAAGACAATCTGTAGTTCGGAGATAAATCAGGTTTTCCCAGCACATGAGAGGGAGAACAGAGAATATAGCATTATGTCATGTCTGAGATGCTGAGAGATCCAGGGAAATGGAATTCTCTGCCTGCTTCTCCCACAGATATTTTAGCCAAACTTCTCATGTGCAGCTATTCCTTGAGTGATGCTCAGGTTTGCCTGGGTCACTGGGACTCTGGGCCTGAATAGCCAGCAATGACAAGCACCAAGACCTATACATGAGATTGACCTCACATTTCTGTCAATGAACAGAACTGGTAAATGCAGGGCCAAGTATCGCAGTGAGTGCTCAACATGTGTGAAGATACCTCTTTTTCTATCAGTTTGTAACATAAGGTTAATATTCCCTGCTCCATTGGGGTTCCCAGGGTTCTGTAGGTGAGTTCCTACTTTGAGGAGTACATGTTCATGTGTCACAAGAATGAGAGAAAGAACCATGAAATACGTGGATGGTTTTGTCTCCAGGGCAGGGTTTGAAGGGTCACTAAGAAAACAAAGACAGGCAACAACCAGAACAAGGATAGCATAAAGCAGATGTAGAAATAGCAGCTCATTTAGTGAGCACAAGGCATCCTGGCCCCCAGGACAGAGAAGCCTGAGGGAAAAATAAAGACTCCATTGTAGTGTTTATTCAGGAGTGGAAGAATTCATATTGCACAGGCATCCCTTGCTCAGGCACCTCCTAACTTCCAAGCACTTGCTCTGCAGTACTGGCACCCTTTTCTCATCACGTTTTGTGAGGATGATCTCTCCACTGGATGCACACTGTGGGTTGTCAGTTAGCAGAACACAAGTAAGCACAAGTGGGATAACAAGCTGCTCTATCTCGTGTGCAATCCAAAAGACATCTGCTGCCTTTTTAACACATTCATATATAATGACCCTGGGGAGCCAGATCTGCAGTCAGGACAGACTGACGTTCTGTATCTGTTTTGCTAATTGCTGCTGCCTTGTGAATATGCTTTTGTCCCTCTCCCCAGACCCATCCATTAGAGGATGGAGAAAGTAAAGTCCTGCAGCAGTGTCTCAGAGCCCTGTTCATGGGCTGAGCTAAATCAGGGCTATTAGGAGAAGGAATAGGATGGTATACTGCAGGTGTAGTTTAGTCTGGATTTTATTGCTCTAAGCTATGTCATTTAGCAAAGCTGACTTTCACAGAAATTAAAACAGAGGTAGAGATAACCATAGAAGCTTTGAAATGCCAACTCTCTGCTCTAAATTGGCATCAAGTATATTTGGGTCATCCCTAATAGAGATCTTGTATTTTAAAAGCCCCGGGTTTGACAGGGATTCACAGGCTCCCTGGGAGATCTGCTGTAGTGCTTAAGACGCTTATAATTGAAAGGTGTTCCTAATAATTGATCTGTATATCTTTTATTGAAGATTAAACCAATGTCCTGTCTCTATCCCTGACAGGAGCACAGGAAAATCGGTCCTTATCCTCTTCTTAACGCTTCAAATGCATTTCAGGAGTGTTAAATTGTCCCTTTTCAAGCTTCCTTTTTTCCTAAGCTTTCCCATTTTCTTCAGCCTTTCCTCCCCAAGTAGTTTCTGAACCTTAGGAAATTTCTTTTGTATGTTCTCTTTTGCCTATGTCTTTCTTAGCATGTTCAGTCCATACAAAAACACAGCAACCCAAGCAGGCTCAACTAAGACCAGACAGAGACACTGACCACTTCCAATCTCAATTCACACTTCATACATGAAAAACTGATCCAGCTCTACTAGCCAGCATTTGAGAGACAGACAAGAGAAAGGCACTTGGATATATTCCTGTAGAGGGAGAAGTAAAACCCTGCTGTGCTCTGCTAATGACACCTTGCTGGAAGCAACATACTGGGGGAGTTAGGTGAAGGATAGAGATGAAAGACTGCATCCCAGCTCCAGCACCAGAAAGGTGGGAACTAAAGGATATATTGGAAGCCCAGTGCAAACTGCTGACAAAGCCAGGGCCTTCCAGACAAAATGAACCCAGAGGTGAAAACAGCCCCATGATGGAATGATCAACACAGTGTCTGGAGGAATAGCTGGATCAAAACACTGGATATACATCGGCGTTGCTGAGAAAGTGTATATATATAGGTTGGGGTTAATGAGAGAAGGAAAAAAGGATTCCCCTTGGGAATATAAGGACTGTGGTCTGTTACCATCTGCTTATAGCAATACACTTCTTCGTTCTTCATCCGTTCATTTAATGCTCATTCATTCATTTAATGTTTCATTCATTTAATGGCTGTATGGCAAATAAAGAGGTAGAAGCACCGTGCCAAGAAAGCAGTGCTTAACATGCTTCTGTGGATGAGCTATTTCAGTTTTTTACTATCCTTGGAGCTGAAGGGCCCTTGCTGCCCAGAGGGAATTGAGCTTTTCGCAGTGAGGCCATGACACATCTAGGCAGGAGGCAGATTACTTCTGGCAGAAGGTAGCAGTTCAACCAGCAAACTCGAATCAGTGCAGCGGGAGCTGACACCCTCTGTGTGGCTGCACTTCCATGCACAGCCTTTTGTCCTGATGTTTTCTAATACAGTTCTTTGTTGCTCCATGTTAATCCTCGTTATTTTGGGATGGGAGCTGACCACTCCTTAGGTGGCTCACTCCCAGGACTGCTGTAACAAGACAGTCAAAGAATACGTTACAGTTCACATCTAGCTGGTGATAGCAGCTTAGAAGCTGCTTCCTTTTCAGTGCTAGATCTACATTCTTGCTACATATATTTCCTTCTGTGTTCTGCTGTTGTTCTGACGCAGAGGTGGCCCCAGAGACCACAGTCAGGAGTAAAGCTTTGGTTGCCATCACAGGAAACTGGGCTCCAAACAGCAGTATACTCTCTGTGTCTCTCCCAGAAAGCTAGTTATACCTGGATCTATGCTTCTTAAGACATAGATCACTAAATCCATAGCCAAAACCAGAAAGAGCAAAGAGTATCAAAGATGAATGGAGATCACCTGGCACAGAAGGCAGATCCCTACACAGAAAGCTTCCAGACTGACAAATCAGCTCAAATGGGAAGCTACACAGTATATGATGATGGCATCACACACAGCATCAGGCAACACACTTGTACTCATTCACCTGCATAACCAACAATTTACTGCAGCAGGATTGAAAGCATTAGAGGCTACAGGCTGCTGGAGCAGTCTGTGATCCACTGGAGTGTGGATAGTGTCCTTGCTGGAGTGTGGCTTGCTTCTGTTGAAGGTCTGGAGCACAAGCTGCAGTCACTCTGCTGCTGGAGGTGTCCTTTGCCTCTGGCAATCTGTGAGATAATAGCTTTGGTTTTAGCAGTATTATTCTCCAAATGTTTTCAGAATACACAAAAAGCCCCAAATAAGGAGCCTCAAAGTTCCTTCCTGTCCATGATTCCACGGTTAGATTACAGAGCTCTGTATACAGATCGGTTATCACTGGCTTGGTTGACCCATTGGGAAAGAAGACATGAACAGCTTAAGTAATGTACTCAAAGCCACAGAGTGAGTCAGGGGAGAAGACTGGAGTAAAACACAAGTCCCCAGCAACCCCAGCCTGTGTGGAGGATGGCTGCTGCTGGGCACAGAGCATTTTCACAGCTTTGAGTAAGATGTGTTTTATTTATGTTGACACATGAAGATCAGAAGCGTTCCTGCAGCGAGTGGAAGGGAAAGCGGATGCGATGTTTGCATGCTGTCAATGTTACACCCTCAGAATTAGCACTAGCAAGCTCTGCTGAAGCAGTTTTTTCCTCTTCTCTCTGTGCTGTAACAGTAGCTTATTACTTTTGTCCACTATCTGCTGGCAACACTGAAGCCCTTGCAAAGGAGTGGGGCAGAGCTGTGCATGCACAATCTGCTTTAAGCCTTAGCTGCCTCTGTGGGCAATGCATGTCGACCACTGTCCACATGTAAATCTGTTGCATGCTCATTTTTGCTGCTGATATATTATATTCCATTTTCCCGTATGCTTTAACAGGGAAATGGCATAATCAGGATGAGAAATGGAAGAAAATAACATCCCTTTCTGTAACTGTGGTGTGCTTGTAATGAGAAGGCTTCAGACTTCTTCAGCTCAAGCAGCATGGTGATTTACTTCAGAATCTTCATTTACATCAGTGCCCACATATGTCACAAAGGCCTATGGTGGAAAAAAAGCCATGCAGAAGCCCACATGGAAAAGAACAGAAACTAACAACTCAGAATTGAAAAACCACCATGTTCTGATATGACAGCCATAGCAGAGTGAAAGCAAAGACAAAAAGTACGAATGGGTACAGCTCAAACACATAGAAAAAATATTTAATATACTTGAAATAAAACTGCTTTTGAATCATTTCACAAATTAAATAGGTGAGAATTGTGGGGGAAAGGAAAAAGAAAAAGGGTCAGATCATATTTTATTAATCAGGCTTCATTCAACATTCCTTACCTCTTTCATGTGATAACTTCAAAATCCAACTAAATGCAGATAGTGATTCTTAAGCAGTATATAAACCCACTCACTTTATTACAGATTCAAGGGACAAGAAGAGAGGATGATATTCCTTTTTCTCTCTGCTCTGAGAAAACAAGTCTGTGATTACCTTTCCAGTGCTAAGAGTTCAAGTCTGGTTCGTAGTTCTCATTAAGCAGGACAGGCTGCCATTTTTTCCTGTATTGACACCACTAGGAAGTAGAAAGACCCTTGTCTAAATGGATTAAAGGAACCTGATTTGTCCTTCATTACTGGCCTTAACTCCAGAAGCTAGCTATTGTTCAGCATTGCTGGTTGTTTTAATCTCCTTCTGAAAGGCTCCACTAACCATGTTCATTAAACTGCATTCGATGACTTACTGTTTAGTTCCTGCAAGTCATTCAATCAGTTAAAATCAGGAACACAATAGTTGTCATTTCACATTAGACTATAGGTTCCTGCAGTAAAGTCTAATTCTGGTGGTAATTAGCACCTGATGCTTATGGAGGAGGTTCAAATGCTGTTTCACAGCTCATGCATGAGCTGACTCCCACATCACTGAATGGGAATGGTTTGAGTTCTTTTTAAATCAACAACATATTTTGCATCATGCCTTCAATGTACCTACACAACTTCACCACGCATTTGGGACTGTAAAAGCTTTATAGGTTAATACAAACCCAAGTTTAAGAACAGCCAACAGTGGAATCCTGAAGGAAAACTCTATAAATGCAGAATCACCTTACAGAGAAGTACCTTTTTTTAAATCACAGAGCATGTGCCAACCAATTTCACAGTCTTTTTAAGTAGCTGGAGAACATCAAGAGACCCTAAACATATGAACTGATTCCTAGGGAAAATCCCTCTGAATACTGTCAAGAGAATTTTATATCCAGTAATCCAGTATCTGCTGATGGTCAACTGTTGTGTGGTGTTCACATGCAGCATGGAATGCGCTCCATGAAGCTGAAATGCAGTTTATGTCATCCACCCTCTCCCACATGACTCCAAAACCCTCCATGACTCCCAAAACTATCAATTACCAAAAGTGTGATATTCAGCCCAGCCTTTAACTCATAGGCTCTGCAGGTGTGCACATTGTTAATCCAGTTGCTACTGAAGAGGGAGGAAGGCATTTCAAATGATGCAAGCTGCTACAGCAGGTTAGGATTCCCATTTTCCTTCCCCTCTGGACAAACATCTCAATATCACATCAATAAACCTGTGACCAGCTCTCCCATTGCAAGGTCACTGGTCTTCTTTAAATAATGATCAGGAGACATTTCTGACCCGCACAGTAATGAACATTTACATTGCACAGGAGTTTCTCCTAAATCAGTCTGCATCTATGAGGAACATATCAGAGCAAACTGGGCCTTGATTTCCTGCCTGTGACATAGATACTTCTTTTAAAATGCAGTTAGGGCAGAAGGCTGTGACACTGAGGGTGAGATGACCTAAAGCCACAACTGCACTTAACCAACCAGAGGATGCTTCTCCAATAGATATAAAGTGCCTTTGTTCACTAGCACAAGCTTCTTGTTATTAAAAAGTGCCAAAGCTTCATATGCCAACACCCAAGGTCAGTGTATCCAACAACACCCAGTGTGTGTTCTCTTGAGCACAGTTAGTATTCAGACACCAGAAAACAATCACTCACCATCTTGATGGTTACCTGAATCAGCTGGAGACTTGCTCCGGCGCATGGGGGCTGGACTCTTTGCTGAGCTCTTCTGAGGGGTGGGAGATGACTTACTGCCCGTGGCATTCGCAGGGCTCCCCTTCATCACCCGGCACTCTAAGGGAACAGACAGCAACTGTGGTTATGTCCCTGCCTATGGACACCATGAAAGATCCATGGGTGCTTTGTTCTCCAAAGAGCTGTGGAAAGCATTAATGACAAGGGAAAATCTGCTCTCTCCATATTTTCTCCAGAAGAGAAAGGAGACATTCTAGGGGGAGGGCAAGAAGCAAATCAGCTTTGCTCTTCTAAGAGGAGAAGCTGAGACAGTGTATGTCAAGGTCAGGCTAGGTCCCTAGCAGCGGCCATCTCCATACCTGTTTCCCACCAAAGATTTTCTGCCCTTCCCCTTGCCTTGGTTCTCACAATGAGAGCACAATGAAAATGGTCAACACTGACTGAGGGAAGAATCAGGCCAACAAAACAGTTAATTTGCTCTAACCCTTCCATGGAGACCAAGTAGTAGGAGTGCTGAGTGCACTTGATGCAGGTGCAGAAAGCCAGCAAACAGCTCATGGCATGGCACAAAGGTCTCTGAGTGGCAGATGGGACATGTGCCCCAGGAGGCGTTCACCCAGCCTCAATCAATCTCTCCTCTGGTTTCAACAAGCTGCAACTTTTTAGATGCAGAAAGCAAAGACAACAAAATGGCTTTGCAGAACGCATCCTCTGTCGTGGCCACTCATCCCTTTCAGAGGGCTTTGCATAAACAAGCCTATAGCAGATTTATGTGCTTGAAGACATGAGCAGATGAGAACCCCAACTTGTGTTTTCTTAAAAAAATAAATACTCCAGGAAGAGTGGAAAATGTAAACATGATCTATAGTGTCCTGCAGAAGGGAACCGAAATGCTAACAAACCTCTGTGTGTCCCAGGACTTCAGGCATGCCAAACCTCCAAACCCAGGGTTTATTTACACTGAGAGCTAACAGCAAAAGCACTTTTCACCCTTGGAGTTATTAACTTAACCCAGTTAAGAAGGAGGCAATAAAAAGGGGATTTCCTTTCTGTCAAACACCAACTGGTCTCACCTCATCTCCTACAGCAGATTGTCCTCACCAAGATGTGAAAACCAGGTCTTTTTTACAGACATGAATTAGATGTTCCATATATAGGCTGGTTTGTATGGAAAGGTTCAGCTCAGCATGCATGGGCTGGACCGAGGATCCCTTGACTGGGTTCCCTAACAGGAATCCACACATAGCAGATAAATGGTCAACCAACAAGTTGTCTGACCTAAATGTATGGATTATTTACGTATATATCACTATATCTATGCAAATGTAATTGGCTTAAATTTTCCCCATTCTCAGGCAGTCAAGGATCAGTCTCTTCTTCTTGCAGATGGTTTGTGAGAGAGTTTGCTGGTGGGTCATGCAGTACAAGAATATGAAGGGAGGATGCCCTGTGCTCCAGGCATACTGCATGGGGATAAACAAACCTACAGTGCATTGATCCTCTCTCCTGCTCAGTGGATTTTGGAAACTGTAAATCAGGGGTAGAAGAAGGTGTGCACCTCCCGTATGAAGACAGGCTGAGAAAGTTGGGGCTGTTCAGCCTGGAGAAGAGAAGGCTGCATGGAGACCTCATAGCAGCCTTCCAGTATCTGAAGGGGGCTATAGGGATGCTGGGGATGGACTCTTCATTAGGGACTGTAGTGAGAGGACAAGGGATAATGGGTTAAAACTGAAACAGGGGAAGTTCAGATTGGATATAAGGAAGAAATTCTTTCCTGTTAGGGTGGTGAGGCACTGGAATGGGTTGCCCAGGGAGGTTGTGAATGTTCCATCCGTGGCAGTGTTCAAGGCCAGGTTGGAGGAGGCCTTGGGTGATATGGTTTAGAGCGAGGTGTCCCTGCCCATGGCAGGGGGGTTGGAACTTGATGATCTTAAGGTCCTTTCAACCCTAACTATTCTATGATTCCATGTTTGGGGGTTTTTATCAGAGGTACTTGACTTCTCACAGATGATGCTACAGGAAGGCTTGGAGGGCTCCAGTGTTGATATAGCCCCGATATTTTATACATGAAGAATAGTAAGAACTTGGGTGGGACGTGTGGAAGGTAGACTAAAGAATGATACTAACAAATAGAGTGTTGAAGAGCCACTGTGAAATAGTCACTAGGGAGAGCGTGCAGATAACTGCTCCTGCTGTGGACCAGCCAAGCCACAATATGGGCAAAAATCAGCCACTGCAGAAGGGATATTTTAAAGAGACATATATCTATTATATGTATATAGCTGTTTACATATAGCTGTTTAATAAAACCAGCACAACATTTTGATGGTAGAGCAGGATTCATTTGCCCAGCCACAGGCACCAGATGCTATGTGAGATACACCGGAGTACAGCCTCCCTGGAGCAGAATGGGTCTCCTGGTGTGATATCTGTCAATCATGTATCATGTGGCTATCTCAGAAACGAAGGGGGCCTCAAAGGGTGTCAGACATCCATGTTCAGTCACAGGAATTACTCCCTAAAAAAATAAACCTGAAAAGCAGAAATTCTTTGTGCTACATCTTTTTGAGAGCTTTCAGATTTATTTTCTTCCCAGGGGATTAATTCCTTGAAAAGAAACTCTGCTTTGCATCTTCCAGCACAGAAAGGCTGACACTGAGGAATTCCTCTAGCTCAGCCGCTGGCAACTGTCAGTACACCAAAGGCAATCACTGAGCATTAGCACATCTTGAGACAAGGTTCTAAAGGTGGAAACCTGACTGTGCTGAAGTTAGTGTAAACAGGCCTCTAAACATCACAGGAGGCATGACATTTACATGGGCTGATGCTGAAACCAGCAGGCACGAATGAGACAGAGCAATGTCATCTCAGCTACAGGGATTAGAGGGCGGAAGCTGTGGTGGGCAGCCAGGAGGAAAGAGATGACATAATCCTCTCTTATGCTATTTCTCATTTTGCTTCCTGATCTCCTGCCAGAGTGAACATAATAAGCAGCAATCCAAGTGCATGTCATCCTAACAGGCAAGAAAAAGCACCCCATGACAGAGGAGATTTTAGTAAGTGGCATTCATCTGCAAGACCTCAGGACTCTTACAGCATCTGACTTGTAACAAGGAAGGATGATGGGTGTAACAGCAGGGAAACACTGCTGGCTAATAACACCTCATCTGCTTCTTGAGAGGTGTGGGGCACCCCTACTCCCCTCAAAATACCACCATGAGGTGCAGTTACTTGGTGCCATCCCAACAGCAAGCTTTGCTTATTTTTGCTAAAGAAATAAGCCAAGAAATAAGCTGGAATAATCAGTAGTAACCAGGAGTGTAGGCAGAGAGCTGGGCTTCCCATCAAGTTGTTCTGCTAGGACTGCATCCAAACTGTTTTACAGGGTGGAATTCCCCATGGTGCTGACTCAACCGCTGAGTGTTAAAATGATGAAGCTCAGGTTACAGATCACTTCCCCAGACTGAGATGGGGCTTTGTTCTCTGCCTGCAAAGTTTCAGATGAAGCTTGGAAACTTTCTTTGAATCACCCCAAACCATCACACGGGTTCATCTGGAGTACACAGGTCAGAAGTACCATCATCTAATAAAATCAGGAGTCATAAAAATACAGTGGCTGAAGATTAGAGGCTGCTTGACTTCCTGGCACACAGCAAAAGCCCTCTTTGGTCTTCAATGGTGAGCCAGTTTGTAGCATGTAAGAATGCACGGGGCTTGTGTTCCTTAGAAAGGGTACCTAGAACTTTGGGAAATGAGCCTGAATGTTTGGAGGTCACATTTTCTTACAGTTTAAATGGTCAGAGTTACACTAATTTACTCTTGCTGCATTAGCAGACAGCCTGAGCTGTTGGCATGTATGGTTACGAGGTGGGGTAGGGGCAACACCTTCAAGCAAGCTCTGTATATTCTGTGAAATCAAAGATTTCATGGCTTATTTAATTATAGAGATTCACATTACTACAGAAACATGCTTGCAGTTGTAACAGGGACAAATAATGGTGCTGTCCTAGTCTTTCCCCCAGAAAAGGGAATTATTGTCCTGCTTTCTGGATCAGCAGAAGCAAGCAGTGCAGTGATTTTTCTTTTAACTGTGCTTGTTCCCGTATTTTATTATTCACGTGTGTATGTAGGGACAAGAGTCCTTCTTCAGTTCTCAAGAAAAATTTATCTATCTGACTGCAACTAGATAGACACTACCAGATTTGGCAGTAAATGTCAAATGGTGCAGGAGTCCATCTATTCTGACTTGGGCTACAAGTTTCTGACAAGTCTACACTGTTTTCCCTATTAGGTGCTGACTGTACAGTATCACAAAAGGATGTTAAATTCCGCATAGTTCAAGGTGTTCAAGGCCAGGCTGGACAGAGCCTTGGGTGCCATGGTTTAGTGTGAAGTGTCCCTGCCCATGGCAGGGGGGGTGGAACTGGATGATCTTAAGGCCCTTTCCAACCCAAACTATTCTATGATTCTATATACTAGGTCTTAAAAAAACAGAATGGAAGCATGCAGCATTATTATGTGATACAAACAACTGAATGGAAGTAAAGCCACAGATTGGAGGGCAGTGTGTGTTTGATGTTACCGCTTTCATCCAAAGAGAAGTCATCCTGTGCATAGCGGAATTTTTCTGGACCACAGGCGATGAACACATCATCATCCCCAAAGAAATCATGCAGACAGGTCACCTACAGAGAGAGCAAAGTCGTTCATGTTAGTTTTAATTGGCAACTTTCTGATGTGGCTTAGTTTTAATTTAAACAGGAGGGAGCTGCCTCTCTGCTGTTCCCCTGTCCCATGCTGATTCAGTCCTACTTCCTGTAAGCCTGGTGCACACAAAACTTCTCTGGGCAAGCCAAGCATAAAAGTGTAATTAAAAGTAAGAAATTCCCAGATACCTTGCAAATTCTATGAGGGATTGAAGGATGGTATTTCCAGTCCATTCGGGACCTGATGGAAAACATCAGTCACCCTAATGGACGACACAGGCATTCCTGAGCTACTTGGGACACCACTGCCCATAGAATCATAGAATCCCAGACTGGTTTGTGTTGGAAGGGACTTTAAAGCTCCTCCAACTCCAACCCCTGCCACAGGCAGGGACACCTTCCACTGGAGCAGCTTGCTCCAAGCCCCTGTGTCCAACCTGGCCTTGAGCACTGCCAGGGATGGGGCAGCCACAGCTTCTCTGGGCACCCTGTGCCATGTTGATGAGTATCTTAGTACCAACAAAGCCTAAAACCTCAAAGAACCACTAAAAAGGCAAAGAGCTGCAGGTCCCAGCACAGGGGCAGGAACATGACTGTTCCTGAGCAGGCCTTGTGATGATAGGTTTAAAAGGCCAAAGGTTTATCTGACCATTGAGGGAGAGGCCCAAAGTACCACTGGATGCCCTTCCCACCCAAGCAGCATGTAAATCCACAGATATATTCCAGAGGTTGTGTCTCCTTCTCCCTGCTTTTGCCACCCAGACATGAGGTGGTAAAGCACCACTCCTCACTGCAGGGCTGCCCATCCCACAGAAGGCCAGGGAGGGGAGATGTGCACAAGACTGGCACTGACATTTATAATGGAGGTGTGAGGCTGACAGCTGATGCCCAGTGTTTTGGCATGTCTGGATACTGTGGTCTTAACAGAGGATAGCTGCATTGCTATTGGAGGTAACTGGGGGGAAACTTAGAGCTGAATTTCCATATCTACTGATCTCTTTGAGCTGGACTGTGAAAAATTCATTTCAAGCTCTAATGAATCAACTATAAAGCAGGCTTTGGATATCTTAATAAAGCTCAGTATTTCACACTGGTTAATATAATGTATAATTAAAGCACTGCCTGAGAGTGCCAGCTCTGGATAGGGTGCCAAACATTAGCAAAACGCTTGCTTTTCACATCAGCATGACTTTCAAAACGGAGCAAGCTGAAATCTGCTATAGCTTTGATCAAAGGTAGAATTATCTTTGCAAACTCCAGTGAATTCCAGTTTCTGTTGGCCTAAAATTAGGTAGAAAATCATTAATATGCTACCTATAGAATTCTCCCATGGTAAATATGACATTTCAAACCAGCACTTGGTATTACAGTCCTCCCCCTGAGGATGCTGGCACCAATTCACTTGCAAATGATTGGGCTTGGCAAGATACATTGGTTCCCATCTGAATGCTAAGTATTATACTTATGCCGTGGCACAAACTGAAGTGTTGCTTAGCTCACCCTTCACTACAGAAACAGTTAAACGTGCAAAGCTAGGTCACCACATAAGGGTTCAAACATTTCCCAGCCTTTTAGATGAAATCAGACAGAACCTACAGGTGCCTTTATTCTCTGCAGGTTGTAAGTCAAAGTGTGTATTTTGTCCTTAAACTCTCCACAAGCACCACAAGCAAAATAAAGTCCAGGCCACCATGAAAGCCTTCGGATCGATGGAAAATACCAGCATAGACAAGGCTAGAAACCTGATTACATGTCAAGCAGAGATACTTGGAATTCACTCTGCATACTTGTCCCTTCAGATAGTAGGTTATTATGTGTATTATATAATTACGAAGAGATGTTTGGATGAGCACTGGTAAAGAGATGAGATTATCTCCTTGTTGAGCTCCTGATATTCAGGAAAGAGTAAGTGCTGCATTTGCTTTATTTGTTCCCTTTTGTTTCCTGCTGTAACTTCCACTATTAAGACCTCACCACAACACAGCAGAAAAGACAGCCAGAACGCAGCCCCACTGTCATTAAATAGTGGAAAACATTACAAAATCCAGACAATAACAAGGGGCACATGTTATGCAGTTTTAGCTGTGCTGCTCATGTCTACCATGTGTGTGGTATTTTCTATTTACCTTTGGTTTATTAAACTTCAGTCCTGGATCATTACTGCATGTCCCTGAAACAGGCCCCGTACGTATTGCTGTCTACATGAACTTGCTGGAGTAAACTTCCTTTGTGAAAACATGGGACTTAAGTGCTGGACCTTACAGCACCAGAGCCAGCTTGCCTAAGCAGTGCACAAAGAAAAGCCCCAGGAGAAAGCCCTGGAAATGCTCATTCCTGAAGGATGTGAAACTAAAGAGGGTGCTAGCTGGGAAGCAGGATTATGGGCTGCTCTGCTGGGATAGGGAGTCTTGCATGATAGGGTTTAGTGTGAGGTGTCCCTGCCCATGACAGGGGGGTTGGAACTGGATAATCTTAAGGTCCTTTCCAACCCAAACTATTCTACGATTCTATGATACCTGGTTTGAGACTTTATCAGCCTGTATGGAACATTTCAGGGACGTTCTTGACAAGGAAAGCCAAACCTCTACCCTGCATTAATTGTTGAGGGGGTTTTAGTGACTCCTGAGTAACCCTGTAAGTCTTCTTAGGTTCATTCCTCAAAATTCTTTTTTTCTCATGTTTTCTCAATTAAAAACAATTAATTAAAACTGGCACAAGTCTTCCCCCCCCCCCCCAAGTAGTCGGGACTGTTCTGAAAGTCTGTGTTCTGCTTTCGCTTCATCTACTGTTCTAATTCTATCCAGTAATGAGTCTGGAACAGCATGAATATCCTGCAAGAAAGTTTACATCAACAGAAATTCACCCCAGCTGATAGCCTGAAGATCTGTGCTTTTAAATGCTGCATTTTGCTTTTAGCTGGACACTTATGGAAGCACAAAACAAAAGCTGATAGTAGCCAGCTAGTGCAAGGACCTGCCTGCAAATGGTGATTTTCTTGATGACTGTTATCATGCCCCCTTAGCAATGACACTGGAAACCATCAAATTAGTCAGATTTTGTCTTTTTCCATTGTTCAGCCCACAAGCTTTTTTATTTCTAACAGAAATGAAACTCATGTATATAATTACAGCAGACAAGGATAAATAGCATTGATTTCCAATCATGTATGCATGTATGTGCATGCCATTGTTTAAAGAAGGATAATATTTGATTTGAAATTTGGGATTAAAAAGACAACATGGATTTTAAAAGGATCATACTGCATTAAATGTTTCCTCTCCCTTTCCTGTAGCTTAAGCAATTCCAATGCAGGAAGTTAATTCTTCACACTCCGGTCGGTGAGGAACAAATGTGTTTCTCACAAAGCAATCCTTTCTAACAGATTTGATGGTAACATTTTCCTTTATGTCAAGGTTTGATTTTTTTCCAAACTTTATGATATATTATGAAGGAAATAGAAGTTGGTGGAGATTAACAGAGATTTTATGGAGCGCAAAACCGTTTGCAATTCCTTAGGTTTTCATTAAGTGTGGTTTCTTGTCTTGTTAAATGAAATCCTTCTCTGCTTATATCAGAGAAACCTTCCTAGAGAGGAAAATATCCCCCCAAGAGGGGATTTCTGCAGTGACAGTCCATTAGCGTCTGCTGCAGCAATTTTAATTGCAGAAAGGAAAGATGGGGCCTTCTGAGAGATGCTTCCTGTTCACTTTCATACAGCAGTTGTAGAACTAAGTGGTTTTCAGGGTTTTGACAAAATGGAGCTTGCCTCAAGCATCTCTCCGGATGTGAGCTCACAGTCTGCTGAAGTATCTGTTCTGCCTCAGGTATTGGGAGTTCAGCTGGAAAAGGAGCAGTAAACATGCAGGATATATACCTGCCCAGCTGTGAATAACCGGCTATTTCTACCATCCTCCAGGAGGCAGCAGCAGCATTTACAAAGTGTAATTCATTAATATGTAAAATAACTAGAAGGAATCAGGAATCAAAAGCCTTGAAGACTTAAATCTTAGTTAGAATCACCTATCCGTGCAGAGCCTCCTGCACATTAAATGAGTGTTATGATTAACCAGCTCCTTTTGTTCCCTTTCCATCTGCAGACTGATGGAGCTTGCTGTGTCTGCATGGCTGACAGCTTGCCCTCACTGTCACTCTCCGCAAGTGTGAACACTGTCACAGCAGTAACATAGGCTCCAGCCACATTTTGGTTGTTTCACTGCTGGATCAAGCTCTGTAGCTCCTGTGGCTGCCACTTTAGCAGGGGGCTCCAGAAGCCTGGCTTGGCCATCACTGTTTGCCAAGAAGATGGCAGAGCATGTCCCTGAAGAGGAATACATCACCAGGAGGGTTAACTGAACTCCCTTTTCACCTTTCAGAAAGGTGTCTTTATCAGAGGTTCCTGTTTTTAGCTGATGGAGCCAGGTGAGGCTGAATGATAAATGATCAGATGCTATAGCTAGTGATTATTCAGAACAGTGATTTATGTACACAGTCCTGCTTCCAGACTTTCCAGTATGTCATGGAATGAGGAAAGACCTCTGGCTAAACAGCCAGCAGAGGTCTGGCAAAGCAGATTTGGAATAATACCACCATGGGTTCAACCCAGGCGCTGAACATCTTCCATCTTAAGGATGTCACCTTTAACCAACTGCCTGACTCTGTTCAAGTCTTTGGATCAGTGAGGGCCAGTGCAGGGCTTCTCCCTCTGCTTCTCTCTCCCATAGTCATAATGATTTTGCTAAGTATTCTCTCTGTAATATCCCTTCTCTTGAAGAATTTAGCAGAACAGAAAGCTATAGTAGTACATAGGTAGCTTCCAACTGCTCCCTAAGTTTCTGCAGATCTAATGGTTATGCTCAAAGTAAAGAGATGTCCATTTGCTTCCTTTAAATCATCACACTTCTTCAGCTTGTAGGCTTCCAGAGTTTAGAACAGGGGGGAAATTGCCTTCAGAGACAACTTCTTTAAGCCGAAAAGACTGC